GGGGGATGGAAGCCAGTGCAGGGATTGGCAGAGGGGGTGGAGGATGGAAGCCAGTGCAGGGATTGGCAGAGGGGGGCGGGGGATGGAAGCCAGTGCAGGGATTGGCAGAGGGGGGTGGAGGATGGAAGCCAGTGTAGGATTTGGCAGAGGGGGGTTGCAGACACTGAGCGGTTGGTAAGGTGAATGAGTCTGGCAGCTGCATTCATGATAGACTGAAGGGGGAGGAGCCTGTGTAGTGGAAGGCCAATGAGGAGGGAGTTACAATAGTCAAGACGAGAGATAACAAGGGAGTGGATGAGAAGTTTGGCGGTCTCTTTGGTGAGTAAGGGGCGTATTTTTGAGAGGTTACGAAGGTGAATGCGGCAGGATTTGGATAGTGATTGGATGTGGGCAATATGACACAGGTGAGGGCCCAGGGGTGGCAGTATGACTCAGGTGAGGGGCCCAGGGGTAGGCGTAGGACACGAGTGAGGGGCCCAGGGATGGCAATATGACACAGGTGAGGGTCCAGGGGTGGCAGTAGGACACGGGTGAGAGTCCAGGGGTGGCAGTAGGACACGGGTGAGGGTCCAGGGGTGGCAGTATGACACAGGTGAGGGTCCAGGGGTGGCAGTATGACACAGGTGAGAGTCCAGGGGTGGCAGTAGTACACAGGTGAGGGTCCAGGGGTGGCAGTAGGACACGGGTGAGAGTCCAGGGGTGGCAGTAGGACACAGGTGAGGGTCCAGGGGTGGCAGTATGAGAGGGATTTGGGGATACGGGATTCCAATTCTTCACCTCTCTCTAAAGCTTAGTGATAATAAAGTAGCCAAGTCAGATTTCAATAGATGGTGTCCTGTTTCTGTGACCACTAATGGCGAAGAACTTGATCTGCCCGACCTGGATTATAGAGAGTCACTGGAGGTTGAACGAATATACACAACTTGTAAGATACCACAGGACCCAAGACTGGCCCAGCAAGTGTGAGCTTCTGGTTCTGGTAAACGGTGAGGTCATCATTTCCGTGTTGGTGGATTAGCACTCATTGTGATGGATCTACATCACTGGACAATGGGACTGAAGTTGGATTTACATTCTGAGACATTTATTTAATTGAAAGGCGACCTTTAATAGAAAAAACATTTGTATTGGTTCATGTCCCTCATGGAAGTGTCCAGCTACCAAACTGGCCTTGAAAAATGCCAGAAGAATTACAATATTTGTCTCCCATAGGCTCCGGTGGTTTATGAAAGCAACATTCGGGGTGCAGAGATTTACCGCTGGATGGGGCAAATGTTCAGCAGACAGAACTTTGCTGATTCATCACTATTGTCCAGCTGTGTTTGCATGGCTACATTCCCATGTCTTTACATATGTGATAGGCCAGGAAGTTTGGAAATCTCCATCATTTAGTCTGGCATTACCTTGGAGGGGTTATGTCTCCATCATTTGGCCTGTGAAAACCTTGGAGAGCTGATCACTCCATCCTCTAGCTTGGGAACAGCTTGATAGTGTTATACCTCGATCATCTGGCCTGAGAAAACCTTTGTAGGGTTATACCTCTGAGACCAGGCCTGGGGGTTGTAGCTCCTCTATGCAGCCTGTGAACATCATGGAGAGGTTATACTGTCATCATGTGGTCTGAGACCACACCTTGGAGGGGTATACCTCAATCATCCTGCCTGGTAATACCTTGGTGGGGTTATATCTCCCATTATCTGTTTTAGGATCATCGTGGAGGGATTATATCTCCATCATCTGGTGTGGGAACACCTTGTTACGGTTATACCTCTATTATATAGCCTGGAAATACCATTGAGGGGTAATACCTCCATCATAGAGCCTGGAAACACCTTTGACGGGTTATACCTCCATCATATACCCTGGAAATACCATTGAGGGGTTATACCTCCATTATCTGGCCTGGAAATACCATTGAGGGGTAATACCTACATCATAGAGCCTGGAAATACCATTGAGGGGTAATACCTCCATCATAGAGCCTGGAAACACCATTGAGGGGTAATACCTCCATCATAGAGCCTGGAAATACCATTGAGGGGTAATACCTCCATCATAGAGCCTGGAAATACCATTGAGGGGTAATACCTCCATCATATAGCCTGGAAATACCTTTGAGGGGTAATACCTCCATTATGTGGCCTGGAAATACCATTGAGGGGTAATACCTCCATCATATAGCCTGGAAATACCATTGAGGGGTAATAACTCCATCATAGAGCCTGGAAATACCATTGAGGGGTAATACCTCCATCATAGAGCCTGGAAATACCATTGAGGGGTAATAACTCCATCATAGAGCCTGGAAATACCATTGAGGGGTAATACCTCCATCATAGAGCCTGGAAATACCATTGAGGGGTAATACCTCCATCATAGAGCCTGGAAATACCATTGAGGGGTAATAACTCCATCATATAGCCTGGAAATACCATTGAGGGGTAATACCTCCATCACGTGGCCTGGAAACACCTCAAAGGGGCTATTCTTCCATTTGTGGCCGGGATACACCTTGAAGGACCCAAGAAGAGTGTGACATCCATGAATGGGGAAATGTACACTTTTGTCTTGCTCGGATAAGTAGAATGGAGATATAAGTTGATTGTGGTTATAAAATCATTTATAGTTACATTGTTTTCATTTAAAAATTGTAATTCACTTCCTGTGCCAAACTGGTTTTATGATACACAGCTCCTCAGACATTTAAGGACACTAGTAGGGTTCTGAGACATGGGGGAGGGGGTGCTACATAACAAACATTTAGCAGGCTCATACTCATCAGACATTATTCAAATTGACTGAAAGTTGCTTTTTCCACGACTTCATCAAAGAGTCTTTAATTTCAGTGACCCGTAACCCATAAATAATCGGGTTTGTTAGAGCCGGAAACAAGAAGTAGATTGCACTGGAGAGGTTCTGAAAGTCATATGAAACTGCCTCCTCGACCTTGTACAAGATGGAGGACAGAATCCCACATGAATACACAATGAGTGCTACGAGCAGATGGTTCCCACACGTGTTCAAGGCTTTGCCTCGGGCACTACCAGCTGCGATTTTCAGGGCCGTCCTGAGAACTTTCACATAGCAGACCAAGAGGACAGTGACATCCGAGGAGGTAACTCCCATCCTCACCATCACACCCACCATGTGGATTTTGAAGACTTCTCCGCAGGCCAAGCTGAGCAGCACCCCGTACTCGCACACGAAGTTCAGGATGGTGGATTTGCAGTACTGGACTCTCGACGCCAGAACAACAACTAGTAACACAAGGAGACAATTCCTAGCCAAGCCAACCACCCACAGCTGGGTCAGAGAGCTCTGGTTGATAATGGTGTGGTAGCGTAGTGGTCTACAGATCGCTATATACCTGTCAAAGGCCATCAACAGGAGCACGACGGACTTGAACATGGTAGCGGAGTAGACAAAGAACATCTGGGACAGGCAGCCTGGTAAGGAGACCTTGTTTTGTCCCAGCAGGCTCTGTATCATCAGGGGTATGACGGCAGTGGTGCCGATGATATTTAGGGCCAGGAGAAGAGCGACGAGAACGTACATGGGGGTATGGAGACTCTTCTCCCACCAGACCGTGTAAGAAATGACCAAGTTTAGGACAACGATGGCGATGTAGATGGAGAAGAACGGGGCAACCAGGAGATGTCTGTGACTTGTGACTCCGGGAAAGGGGAAGAGGAGGAACTCGCTGTAGGAAAGGGAGATGTTCTGAGCTGGACTTTGTCTCTGCAGGTTGTCAGGTTCCATTTCTCAGCCTGAAAAGACAAGTACACATGGGCGTCATCTACGGAATGTTTCTTCATTTATGAGTTTTGTGAGCAAAAGAAAAGGACAGTTAAAGCCGACAATTTCCCCTTATTATGACCTGCAGGCCCGGATTCCCCACAAGGCCACCGAGGCTCGGCCTCGGGGCAGCAGGTAAGAAATAATTAAATAAAAAGTGATAAAAAAATAAAGAAAAAGTAAAAAAAAATTGAAACTTACCTCCTATAACAGGAACATGAAAACTGGGACAGAGCGTTGTCACCCTATAACAGGAACATGGGAACTGGGACAGAGCGTTGTCACTCTATAAAAGGGAAATGAAGACAAGGACAGAGCACTATCACCCTATCACAGGAACAAGGAGACAAGACCAGACCGTTGTCACTCTATAACAGGAACATGGAAACTGGGACAGAGCGTTGTCACCCTATAACAGGAACATGGGAACTGGGACAGAGCGTTGTCACTCTATAACAGGAACATGGAAACTGGGACAGAGCGTTGTCACCCTATAACAGGAACATGAAAACTGGGACAGAGCGTTGTCACTCTATAACAGGAACATGAAAACTGGGACAGAGCGTTGTCACCCTATAACAGGAACATGGGAACTGGGACAGAGCGTTGTCACCCTATAACAGGAACATGGGAACTTGGACAGAGCGTTGTCACCCTATAACAGGAACATGAAAACTGTGACAGAGCGTTGTCACCCTATAACAGGAACATGAAAACTGGGACAGAGCGTTGTCACCCTATAACAGGAACATGAAAACTGGGACAGAGCGTTGTCACTCTATAACAGGAACATGAAAACTGGGACAGAGCGTTGTCACTCTATAACAGGAACATGGGAACTGGGACAGAGCGTTGTCACCCTATAACAGGAACATGAAAACTGGGACAGAGCGTTGTCACCCTATAACAGAAAAAAGTAGACAAGGACAGAGCACTATCACCCTATCACAGGAAAAAGGAGACAAGACCAGACCGTTGTCACTCTATAACAGGAACATGGAAACTGGGACAGATGGGAGGAGGGAGCTGTGTGGGGATGAATGGTTGAGTGGTTAGGTTGAGGTGGGATCGGCTTCTCTGAAGAGATGAGTCTTCAGGGATCGCCTTAAGACAGTCAGGGTGGGAGATAGACGGACAGGTTGGGGTAAAGAGTTCCAGAGGATGGGAGAGACTCTAGAGAAGTCCTAGGCGGGTATGGGAGGAGATGATGAGGGAGCTGGAAAGCAGGAGGTCTTGGGAGGAGCGGAGGGGACGGTTAGGGTGATACTTTGAGACCAGGTTGGACATATAGCCGGGGGTGGAGTTGTGGACGGCTTTGTAAGCGATTGATAATATTTTTAATTTTATGCTGTTGGACTTGATGGACGTGTCTTTATTCAACCCCAAATACTATGTAACTGTGTAACTATGTAATACTATGTAACTGTGTAACTATGTAATACTATGTAACTATGTAACTATCTCACTTCCTGACTATAGAAGTTAATCTTCCAGGTCCGTAGTTGTGGGTGAAGACTTGGATCCCTTCTTTATATGGCCACCACATCGGCCATCGCCACCAAGACCATCATTAATGAGTCTCTACAAATCCCAACCAATGGCTGGAGATAACTGAGCTCGGCTCTTGGAGGAGGATTCAAGCTTTGCCTGTTGTCGGGTGGAAGGACGGCCCCAGAGCAGCTCTATAAGAGTCGAATTCCATATTTTCCATCTTTCATAATGAGGCCCCAACAAAATCTTACCAGATGGTAAAGCTGAACCCCAATCAGACGGCTTAATATGCGGATACAATACATGTCCACCAGCCTTTTACCTGTAATAGGATTTGTAATTCAGTCTATTCAGTCCTGAGATTTACACAGCTCCGCCAGCTTGGTCATCTCCCATTTCTACACTCCCTGTGACTGCACAGTGAAGGAGCTGTACTCCATGTGTTCTTGCCGGGGCTTGTCCCCCTGTACTCCATGTGTTCTTGCCGGGGCTTGTCCCCCTGTACTCCATGTGTTCTTGCCATGGCATGTCCCCCTGTACTCCATGTGTTCTTGCCGTAGCATGTCCCCCCTGAATGGCGTGTCCCCCCTGAATGGTGAGTCATCCGAGGAGTTACTGAGGTAAAAGAATGGCGAGTCATCCGAGGAGTTACTGAGGTAAAAGAATGGCGAGTCATCCGAGGAGTTACTGAGGTAAAAGAATGGCGAGTCATCCGAGGAGTTACTGAGGTAAAAGAATGGCGAGTCATCCGAGGAGTTACTGAGGTAAAAGAATGGCGAGTCATCCGAGGAGTTACTGAGGTAAAAGAATGGCGAGTCATCCGAGGAGTTACTGAGGTAAAAGAATGGCGAGTCATCCGAGGAGTTACTGAGGTAAAAGAATGGCGAGTCATCCGAGGAGTTACTGAGGTAAAAGAATGGCGAGTCATCCGAGGAGTTACTGAGGTAAAAGAATGGCGAGTCATCCGAGGAGTTACTGAGGTAAAAGAATGGCGAGTCATCCGAGGAGTTACTGAGGTAAAAGAATGGCGAGTCATCCGAGGAGTTACTGAGGTAAAAGAATGGCGAGTCATCCGAGGAGTTACTGAGGTAAAAGAATGGCGAGTCATCCGAGGAGTTACTGAGGTAAAAGAATGGCGAGTCATCCGAGGAGTTACTGAGGTAAAAGAATGGCGAGTCATCCGAGGAGTTACTGAGGTAAAAGAATGGCGAGTCATCCGAGGAGTTACTGAGGTAAAAGAATGGCGAGTCATCCGAGGAGTTACTGAGGTAAAAGAATGGCGAGTCATCCGAGGAGTTACTGAGGTAAAAGAATGGCGAGTCATCCGAGGAGTTACTGAGGTAAAAGAATGGCGAGTCATCCGAGGAGTTACTGAGGTAAAAGAATGGCGAGTCATCCGAGGAGTTACTGAGGTAAAAGAATGGCGAGTCATCCGAGGAGTTACTGAGGTAAAAGAATGGCGAGTCATCCGAGGAGTTACTGAGGTAAAAGAATGGCGAGTCATCCGAGGAGTTACTGAGGTAAAAGAATGGCGAGTCATCCGAGGAGTTACTGAGGTAAAAGAATGGCGAGTCATCCGAGGAGTTACTGAGGTAAAAGAATGGCGAGTCATCCGAGGAGTTACTGAGGTAAAAGAATGGCGAGTCATCCGAGGAGTTACTGAGGTAAAAGAATGGCGAGTCATCCGAGGAGTTACTGAGGTAAAAGAATGGCGAGTCATCCGAGGAGTTACTAAGGTAAAAGAATAGTGAGTCATCCGAGGAGTTACTGAGGTAAAAGAATGGCGAGCCATCCGAGGAGATACTGAGGTAAAAGAATGGCGAGTCATCCGAGGAGTTACTGAGGTAAAAGAATGGCGAGTCATCCGAGGAGTTACTGAGGTAAAAGAATGGCGAGTCATCCGAGGAGTTACTGAGGTAAAAGAATGGCGAGTCATCCGAGGAGTTACTGAGGTAAAAGAATGGCGAGTCATCCGAGGAGTTACTGAGGTAAAAGAATGGCGAGTCATCCGAGGAGTTACTGAGGTAAAAGAATGGCGAGTCATCCAAGGAGTTACTGAGGTAAAAGAATGGCGAGTCATCTGAGGTGTTACTGAGGTAAAAGAATGGCGAGTCATCCGAGGAGTTGCTGAGGTAAAAGAATGGCGAGTCCCTCCAGTAGAACAATACACGGACTCTATGAGCGGGTTGCCGCAGTGATAAGGGACAGACCGCCGGGAGATTTACACATTCACTAAAAAATTAATATTTTTTAACCACTTCCTGGCCGGCCGTTGTAAAAAAACGGCCGGCCAGGAGCTCTCTAGATGTGAGCGGGCGTCTTTAGACGTCCGCTCAGCCACACCCCCGTGTGAAATGCCGACATTTGCGATGCCCGTTCATATACAAGCGATCCGCCGGCTATAGAGCGGATCGCTTGTATGAGGTCCCGGGATGTGCGTCCTCCCACCCCCTCCGTGGCTACCCCCCCTCCCGCTGATCCCGGGCTCCGGTGCCTCTGTCACAGGGGATCAGAGGGAGGTCGGTACACGATCTCATACATACACACATGCAAACAGGCGTCGGGTGCGCATACAAGCGAAAACGACGATTGCGCTTATTACGCCGCACATGTTGCATATCGCCGCGGACGTCGCAGTGTAAGCAATCATCCTCGGCCCGTCAATCACCGATAACACTAAACTGATGAGCGGGAAAAGCTTTTAAAGCGTCGCCTGTGGCCAATTTTGGGTTTGGTAGTTTTCTGCGATTTCGCCCAATTTTAAAGCTTGACATGTTTGGTGTCTATTTACCCGACGTGACCCCGACTTTTATGTTTTACCAAAACATTGGGGTGATAATCATTGTTTCCTAACATAATGGGGGGGAAAAAAACTTTTTTTTTCCCCATTCAACTGGTTAAATAAACAATTTTTGGTTTTAGTTTTTATTTATTGTATTATTTTTCACTTAAATGTATTGATAGCGGTTGGGATCAATGTTCCCCAGGAGCTGCCCGACACCCTTCTCTGACTCCGAGTCCTCTGATTCGGATCTTCTATGAAGGTTCAGACGGCTCCTGAGCTTCTCCTTGTCAGCCGACTCAGCCGGTGACCCGAACATTCCATTCATGAATCGGTTCTTTTCAATGAACTGATCCAAAAGATCCGAACTTCCCATCTCTACCTCTTACCTGTCAGCGCTGTCCGCCTCTGTGGTCACCTGGGGGCCCGGCCTCCTCTTCTATCGACGGGCCCCTCTTACATCACTGGCCCCACCTGCTCTTAGGCCGCTGGCCAGTGATGTAAGAGGAGGCGGGGTTGCTCTTAGGACGGCCTCTTCTGCCGCAGCTGCTGGCTGTCACTGACACTGTGAGGGGAAACGCCGCTGCTGAGCTGTGTCAGTGACGGCCAGCGCCCTTACATGCCATATAGCGACCCAGGCGGCCCACACAAGAGGCATCAGAGGGATGCCCTGGCCGTGCCCCCCCTGTGC